ATGAAACCGCCCACATAGTTACATTTTTATCGACTAAGTATAAAAATTATGTTTTTGACTTAGTTCTAATTTACTTTTTACAAAATTTTCAATATACTTTTTTAGTTCAATGGCGTTGAAATAAATGACACTTAGTTAATTCTCTCAATATCTATTTAATGTACTTTTTGTATTGTCGAGTAGTAATAATCACTGATTTATTGACAAAAGCACTTCATTTTAATTGTATTTCATATACCGATACGGATTCGGTATGAAATATTTATTACTTTCTTCAACTTTCATTAGAAAATTCTATTTTTCATAGCCGACTTAACTACGCTTACTATTCTAGTTACATGTTTGTCTATGTTAATAATAAAAAAACTTTTTTAGGCAACTATTATACGTTGATTGTAATTAATAAGTAAATATATGATGATAAGTTCAAATTAACTCTTATGCATGATAATTTACGGGTTATATCTAACAAGGAACGAGGACAGAGAATGATTGGTGTGGAAACGAAGGAACAATAAAGTCTGAGACGATTGACTGATATTTTGCAAATGAAGTATTTACAGTATGGTTCTCAGATTTTACTAACATGTTCTGTAATTTTATGTTCTAATACATTCGATTATCTCCACTTGTGTTCTTGTTCACTATAATATTATTTTGAATTCGGTGTATAATTTCGTGATGCTGATAAATAAATTGAAGTTGCTCTTTGACTGATATTTACATAGTCTTTCAAAAGATTAAAGTCACGTTTTATGTAGTAATAATAATAATAATAATATAATGACATGACAGACAATCAGCGTACACTACCCAACAACAGTTGGATCAAAATATATCTAGATGCATGAACATATTCGTGCATTATCTACTCAGACTCATAAAGATTATTTTTATTCTTCGTCACTTTGTTTTATTCTATACTATTCTAATATTTTCAATAAATTATGAAAGCTTTGCTGATAACCAGATTTTTTATTCAGGTAAGATATTTTGATTACTAATGTTTGAGGTGATGCTTATATGAACTTGACCAAATAATGGAATTTCAGGCAAATCATTAAGACTGACATTTCCACTAGATAAAGCTTACCTAAAGCATTATTAGGTTTATTGTTAATCAGATGTGAAACGACATCAGTTCAGTTGATGGCGAAAATTCTGTTTGTGGTTTGATTTTTTATATCTTCAGCATACCAAGTGCATTGTTACAGTAGATCTGATAATCCAAATGTTACACTATATGTATATAGATGAAGCAAGAAGCGAAAACGAAACACGTAATATATGTTTTGAGAGTTACAAATTGTAAACAGTCAGTAAGATGCTTTGTTTAAATCAAACTTTTGAATGTTAAATACACGCCATTGCTATCATTTTAATTTTTTTCTTGTGTTGTTATGCATGATGTGCATGAATTCTGTATGAATACCATGTAGTTCATACAAATTTTTATTTGTATGTGATCTTGCATTTGTAAAATTTGTTTGCGAAAGAAACATATTACATTAGTAATCTGAACTACCAATCAACGTGTTGTATGCAGTTCAGTTATCATTCTACATTTCCACTAACAACTCCACATTCTATAAAAGAATGGAAGCATATGTTTTAATGTGTCATTAGGAACTGCAACAATTTACATAAAGTGATGAAATTATTTCAAAGTGGAGTCACAATTAAGACACAAAATTCGTTTTCACCTAGTCGTTTTATCCCGTCTCAAAATATGAATATTATTATTCACTTGTGCTTTTACGACACTTGTCGTTTTCTATACAACATACAACATAATTATGACATGCTTACAAATATGTTTATAGTTATTGCCAACTGAATCAAAGCTGATTGACATATACATCCACAACCGTATATATATATATATATATATATATATATATATATATATATATATATATATATATATATATATATGAAACACAAAAGATGTCCAGGTGCAAAATATCTATTATTCATAGCCACCTTCAATTGAAAAATCTGCTGCGAATTTGTTAATGTGACTTAATGAACATTTACTTCATGTGAGAAAAGAGATTTGAAATATCTCACTGAGAAATTCGTTAGAAAATGAAGTCTTCAATTAACCATAAATTTATGTGTAGTAAGGTGGAGTGACATTCATTTCATTAGTTGAATTAAACATGTTTCTTTACTTTAGAAATCGTTTGCCGAAAGAATGGGCACTAAGCCAAATGTCGGGAAGTCACGAATTCACCTAAACATATCCAGCATTTAAACTAGACACGAACGAAGACCGTTTAAATACTTTTGTCTTTCAAACTAAAATCGTGACTAAAATATCAACCTGGGTCTCATAATGTCAAATAAACTTCAGATTTACATGTGATTGTCCTTTTCAGTTTTAATGAATAACTAGTCATTAAACCATATCACTACATTGACACTCACCATCAAGTATTTACACTAACATTGTCCTTTTCTGATAACCTAACATAACATAATCGTTATTTCTTTTTCACAAACATACACCCTTATATTATATGTGAAAATTGTATTTGAAATAATCTCAGCGATTGTAATTTAAAATACTTCTAAAGTTTCATCCAGCAATCTTGTTTGAACCTCTTCAGGGTAATAACCAAAGTGAAAATCATTAAAGAAATGTATGGTATTCAACAATCAAATCAAGTTTATACTGTGCTATTCCAATCGTATTCATATGTTGACTTTAGTAAGTACAATAACATGAGTCAGTTATATGCGGATCATGTGAAAAGTTCACAATATAAAAATAAATGACTGAATGAATTATATGTGTATGCATGTGTAAGATTGAGTTATTAATAGTTAATTTTCGGTGTTAATTTGTTTTATAAAAAGTGCAAGTTGAAGGTTGAAATTTTTTGTGAGTAGTCAATGTGCATGTAAAATGCGAACCATCAAATACATAATGGTATTGCTAAAATAACCCAGATTGATTTCTGTCAGAATAACGATACATATGAAATAAACATGTTGAATAGAGAAAGAGTCCGATTACTTGTGAATGAACATTTACCATGTGGTAGCTAGTTGAATACCGTTTCTATTCAGGCTGTTCTTATTCGTTTTTGATTGACATCATGAATCGATTGACTTCAGACCACAATTAAAAACCTGGAAGCACTGGATGGCCATTTCGTCCTAGTATGAGTACCCTCAGCAGTGCGCATTCCCGATCCCACCCGCGGGACTCGAACACAGGTCCTCCAGTCTAGCGCACGAACGCCTAACCTCCAGACCACTGAGCCGGTATCCAACGGTGTTATTGTCTAACTCCAACCAATCTACGAAATCCCGCCACCATCTGCCATTGTACTAAGGTAGATACCTGTTTCAATCTGACTTGGATTAGCTCTACTGGTCACGACTACTCACTAGAACTTTTATTAGCTCTTATTAACCTGGCGCTTCTGCTATCAATCTTTACTTTATGTGCCAAAACCTGAAACTTAAACATACACATACAAACAATTCATTCAGTTATCTTCAGATTGTGGACTTTTCACATAATCCGCATATAACTGACTCATGTTATCCTACTTACTAAAATCAATATCTAAATATGATTGGATAAACACAATGAAGTTTTGATTTGATTGCTAAACATTATATATTCTTTGAAAATTTTGATTTTGATCCGAATAAAGAGTTGGTTAAAGAACTGTGATTGGCAGCCTATGATTCACGAGGAGTCACAGGTGTGAATAAGTAGGTAAGTATATTTATCTTCACTCTTGAATTTGTAATAGTACGAATTCATCAGACAGATTCTATAAGCGATAGTTAACACTGACATTTGAGTCAGGATTTATTGAGCCTATTTCTGTTAGAGGTGAAATGTCTAACTAATATACATACGAGTTTGATTTGTGATTAGTCTTGTATGTTTACACCTTCTCTGTATTTTGGACAATCTTGATGTAGTGTATTTACTTTCTTGTTGTGAGTCTAACCGTATACAAGACTGTATAAGTATTGAACTCAACAGTCTCCTTGTAGTTCTGAAAATGGGATTTTGATCTTGACACTGATAAATGTGGATAGATTCGCCTTATTAATCATCCACTTTATTTTGACTTTACAATAAAAAGTGAGGCGTTATCTAAGTTTCATACAGTTGTGAATTTAAGACACAAGTATTTCCACAATTTGTTCTTTTCAGGATAGGTCTGAAAATCGACTTCTGAATCTAAATGATTTCTGTATTTCATACAACTTAACTTCTATAAATATGATTCACGTTTTAATCCACGAATTATGTACCCGACTACGCCTAGAATGATGCACTTTTATTCTGGAATAGCGTTAATATTATTCATAAACATAGATTGAAATAAATCCTGCTGTGATTAACACTGCGCATACCTAGGGATGGTTCTACCATAAACTACGAATTCACATCCAGTATACTTGAACCCAACCCTTTATGAAAGTGGAGAGTCTAACTAAACCTTATTTTCGTCTTCACAATACTAAATAAACCATCGTTTGCATACATTGGTGCTATCAAGTAAGTAAATCTCTTTAATTTTATCATGCATAACTTTATCAAAAATAAAACCGTCTCATCTTTACTATTACTTCTTATGAATTACTTGTAAGTTTTCGAAACTTTTGAATAATTTGTTAATCTGTGAATGAAGTTAAATCGATACCACTCTTTTCTGATTTATTATTACCTGTAGTTCGATCCTCCCTTTAAAAATAATCAAACTTGTAACTACATTTTGTTCCACCGATGAAATTTTAAGAACATACAGTGCTTAGTCATTATTTTACTCAACATGTTTACTAAACCTCTCTCCTTATAGATATTCTACAGTTACATTGTCCACAGTTGACTTGATTAATTTGAATAATATCCATTTAAACCAGTAGGTCATAAAACAACAATAACACATGCGCAACGACAGGTCTTTCACATTAATTCTTTTTATTGTTGTTCTATGTTCACTGTTTTCTTTTTTTCTTCTCTAGTTGTGAATGATAACGAATAATCTGTAATGTCACTAGAATCACCCCACGATACACTATTTATACTTCAGTAGGATATCGCAATCCTCCTATCGAAAATTAATGGTTCCCAACTGCTACCTCAAATTATTATAATCCATGTAACAAAAATGTTCTATCAAGACAATTCATAAGTAGCGTTTTATGAAAAAATTTAACACTAAACATCTGGTCCTCACATACACCTTTTCTTCTTACACCAACTTCCTAATGTGTATATATTGACACATATTCTTTAATTATTTCCACGATACAATTTGTTTATTTATTTCTCTTTTCATTGCATACAACCATTTATTTTCGTCAATGAGCTCATCTCTATGCTCCCACAGCATCAGCCAGTCCAATTCTTCTCTGACCGAAATCGAATACAGTATAGAATTTTCCCATAAAAACGTCACCAAGAACCCAATAGTTAGAAGGTAACGAAAGATGAGATTGAAAAGGTGACAAACAAATTGTTTTAAAGAATTCGCTCTCCTGTAATTGAACAAAAAATACATTAGTATGGAAGCAAATTGTTTCCATCTTGTTCGTCTGAATAGTGGCCGTCTGAAAGATTATTCAAAGATTAGCAATCATTTCCTTGATCTGGTTATTTGTTGATTGCAAATTGTAATATACATCACTCAATAAGAAACTAATGATTCATGTTTTCTCTGAGATCGTCTTTCTTCACATTACTTCACATGGATTATGTTGACATCAGTTTAAACTTAGAATTTAATAAGCTTTAATATTTTAAATGATTGTATTAAGTTAGTAATGCACACAGTGGATTGTTTTTCATCATATATACTTTATTTAAAACAGTTATTTGTAACAAAATCTTCCTCACTCTCAGCTTACTAAACATTAAAAATGATGTGGTCCATTTAGCTCATTCTTTACTCCTAAATTTTCTTAATACGAATATTTTATACAATTCACAGAAAATTCTGTTTTAATTTTCTATTCACAGTAAACGATGATGAGCTTAATCCACTAATGGTTTAAGTACTATTGTGGTGTGTGCTACTGATGTAGGTAGATATAAGTAGTATGTGTCATCAATCGAAAGTGAAATACCTGGCAGCAGAATGTTAGGAAAATTGGAGAAAGAAGAATGAGAACAGAGAATGATTGGTGGGGAAACGAAGGAACAATAAAGTCTGAGACGATTGACTGATATTTTGCAAATGAAGTATTTACAGCATGGTTCTCAGATTTTACTAACATGTTCTGTAATTTTATGTTCTAATACATTCGATTATCCCCACTTGTGTTCTTTTTGACTAAACTACTATTAAATTTGTATTAACATTTTCTTATTCCCATATAGCTGTATTTTTAAGAAATTACCTCTACATGTGTCCTAAAAAAGAAATATTATGATAGTGTTATTCGTCCATCTACGTTAGCCAGCTAACAAACGGACGTGGGAATTTACTGTGGTATAAATATGTCAATCGCTAACTCTACAGTTTAGTGCAGATTGCGTGGTTTCGGTTATGAAATACACCAATAATTTTATATAAAGGTTTCATATGAATTAAATTGACCTGTTCATTGAGATGTACCTTTTCAAAACAATCTTACCTATTACAACTTCAAACTGAGTGGAACTTCATAATTTTAACAAACAATTCTGTATCAGACATGTCTATCTCATAACTGGTACAGTGACTAGCATTGTTTAAGACAAAATGAATTACTTGTATGCACCTTGACTACATAGTGTTGTGGCTTCAGAATGTACTTATTCCTATGAAATATGAACTCAATCGAAGGAAGCATATCAATTCGACCACAGTCAATGAATTTTCTTCCAAAAATGTCAAAAGCATGAAGTAAAGAATTGATTTTTTTCACTTGTTCATTTGGTCCAATAATTAAAGATGTTCCAGTATCAATAACAGCAGAACATATGTTGCAAAAGTTTATCCCATTTATTTGCAAACTAAGTGTATATAGAAAACATTTTATTAAAAAATATATATATAAACTGTTTTACCCATCTGTGACTTAATTCACAATAAGTGTGGGTCTCTCTCAATAGAACTCAGCCTCTGCGATATGAATCATGTATTTTAAACACATTGGGTTTATATGCAAACCAAACGCACCACAAAATAGAAAATAACATTTGTACAAGATCTATTCAAAAGTGGCTGTGAATGTGGAAGACTGTAATTAATAGTCTGGACATAAAACAAGAGAATGAATGTACACAGTTCAGCTACTTAACAATTATACAATAAAAGTAGATGTATATTATTGGCCCATAAATAGATCCGAACAGTTACCACTCAATATTATCGTCGAGATATAGCAAAAGTATTGTTCAAAATTACTCGAATACATTTTAAACCGTCATTCGAACAGTAACTAACATTGGACATTCACTTCAACCTGACCGGGAACTATTATTTAGATGCGTCTCAATGTTGGTACAAACACACTAACTGAGATTCACATTTCAAACACATAATGCAATTCAAGTGACTTATTTATTTCAATCACTGTTTATTTTCCATTCCCGAAATAGTGAAATACTTGTTGAGCCTAGTTTATGCATTATGTTCCATTACACTCATTCAATGCAAAAGTTATTTGAATTCCATTCTACATTCATCTATCTATAACCGATACTTAATAATCATATTCAAATTACAGTACCTTCAGGATGATAGTGTAGTGAACAAGAATATTATGGTTACAGTTTGAACTTAATGGCAGTTTGAGCAAAACTGAATATTTTCACACATTACATTATTTGTTAATGTTATCAAAAGAGATTTTCTTCGTATGAATTCTAGTGAAATTAGTAACTGATCAACATTCTTAAGTATTTCAAAGTAGGAATGAGTGCTTCCGATGAACACTTAATTGGTATGATTGAAAAGACGTACGTTGATAAAAAGTAGTCCTCTTGAAAGTACTACCCCTTATGACTGATGCACTTATTGGATATTTTTCCAATCCCAATCTGACAAATTATTTAGTGATAATCAAACTGGTATCAGCTTAAACACTTCTGCTTGAGGTAGACCAAACAACACATTGCATACGAAATCGGATGCAGACATCTAAAGAAGGAATAGCAAGTGGAAATAACTAAAAAGGACAGCTAAATAAAGAGTTGGTTGGAGAATTCTGATCGGCAGTCTATGACCCACGAAGGGTAACAGATGTAAGTAACTGAGTAAAGTGCCAATCTGTGTTCTCTCAATTCCTATTGATGTTAAGAAAATATCATGATCATCAAATTAAAATTACGTGAAAATCGACTACCTTAACATTTGAATCGCCCACATATGATTGTGAATAGTAGGTACATATTCAAAATCACCCTTGAAATATTTAGGATTTACACCACCAAGTACCAATTCACCACCGATTCCTTCACCGTTTTCCCTATCAACAAATAAGGAATCTGTGTCTAATTATTGATATTTTTTCTAATGTAATACACTGAAAGACAAGGTTAATAGAATAAACTTAGTTAGTCGTTTGGACGCGATCATACCTGATGTAAGAACCAATCACAGTATATGATCATGTCGTTGTGTAAATGTCTATGTGACAAATAATTTAGTAGTTCACTGTCTTTAATGTATATGCTTTATATAAAATAAAATCTACATCGTTTCGATGTAAAATACATTTACACGATGACAAAATTGAGTTGACTGAAAAAATGTGATGTATTTCCGCCAAAGTCTTCAAACAATCTGGTGAAATATAAAAAGTTCTTTTTTGATTGAGATCATGAATCGAATATGTTAGACCATTATTGAAAACCTGGAAGCACTGGACAGTCATTTCGTCCTAGTGTTGGACTTCTCAGCAGCGTGCATCCACGATCTCACTCACGGGTTTCAAGCGCAAAGCTTCAGTTTAGCTTACGAACGCCTTACCTCTAGACCACTAAATCGGCATCGGATTGCGTTAATGTTTAACTTCCTTTCAATTCGTGTCGGGTAGAGACAGGTATCTACTTCAGACAATGATGAATGATGGCGCAGCTATTCATGCGACAATGGATGTCAGACAACAGCATCGATGCAAGCGGTCGCACGCTAGACAGAAGACCCTGGGTTCGAATCCGGCGAGCAGAGTCGTGGATGAGCACTGCTGAGGAGTCTCATACTAGAACGAAATGACTGTCCAGTGCTTCCAGCTTTTCAAAGGTTGTCTAACATTAGTCGATTCATGATCTCAACCAAAATCTTAACTATCTACACCATACAATATTGATAAAAATATAAACTTGTCGAGGCATTTTATTTCAAAATTATTAATAGTCAATTGAATGAAAGTCCAAATAAACTAAGTGATAATTGTAAATAAAAGAGAGAGAAAATTAACATAATATGGAACGAATAGGAAATCGTCACATAATCATGGGCCATAAAATGATTAAGGATTACTAGGACAAATTTAAGGTTAGTACAAATTGTTTCTATACATATAAGGGAGTTTTTAATTTACGAATCGTCATGGCTTCTATAAACTTAAGAATTTGTCCTTGACATTTTCTAAACAACGTTTTAAAAGCCGTATTGATGTCAGTTTTATTTGAGAAAAAAGCTCTATCTCCCAGAATTTACTTCGCATTTGCTCAGGTTAAAATTTCTAATTTCTCGATCAATACTCAAATAGAAAATCTCTATGTTCCTTTGAACTTTATGGTTCCCAACCAATTCCATGGTTCGCAAATCAGACGCAGGTATATTTTGACTTATGCTAGACCAGATAATGTGGTCTTTGAACCTGACAAATGTTTTGGCGTGTTTGTTGGGAATAAATGTGACTGTGGGGTAAAAATATTATCTATACTTGATGAGTTCCTGGTGGATGTTTCATCTAAATTAATGTTAGATTATTGACATCCAGAGTAAATTACAATCTAATGAAGCTTCTTAAACTGAATGTTATAAACAAAGTGGAATTCAATTTACTGAAGCCTACCCGTTCTGTACTCCCGAATTTATATGGATTACATAAACTTAATAATCCATTACGACCGATATTGACCATACGTTGTTCACTTACAAATATACTGGCAAAATGGTTATCAAATTGCAAAACTCGATTCGTGAACTAACTAATCTTTCCGATGGCATTAATATTAAAGAAAAAACTGTACATTCTTTTGACATCAACACGCTTTTTACGAATGTACCTCAAACTAAGAATGTTATTTCTTTTGCGACCATGTATAGAGTAATTTCCCCCTTTTTTCCTATTTGATCAACAGTTGAAACAACTAGTTTTATTATTTGTTCCGAAAGTTTAACCCACGTTTGAAGGTAAACATTTTCGACAAGTTGATGGTGTTCTTATGTGTAGCCCGTCGGGACATCTCTTTGTTGATGTATTTATGTTATATGTTGAAAATATCATAAGTGAGCTCATCAGAGAGATAACACCGTATAGGTGATACATGAATGATGTATCAATCATATGTGATGAAGATAAACTCAATGGCGTACAGAGTAATATCGTAATGATCTATGAGGAAGAAAGTAATAATTAATTGCTCCTTTTAGATATACTCTTGAGTCGAAGGGAGGATTGAACCATAAAGCAGTAGCTTTATAGAAAGCCAACGCGAACGGGTCAAAATTTTAATTTCCACAGTTTCTGGCCTTCTCAACCCAAGCGGGGTTTGGTAAGTGCATCCTTAATAAAAATCAAGAATCTGTACTACAGATTTGTTGAAGAAGATGCGAAATTCCAGACAGATATACTTATATCAAACGATTATCCACTCAAGTTTACAAATAAATGCAAAAGTTATTCAACAACAAAGCTTCCCTTTAATTTTGCTGCGAAGAAAGTGTTTTTATATCTCTTTTTTCCTTTAAGAGTAGAATCTAACAGTGTTATCCGGAGACAGAGACTTAATGCAATTATCGAAAAAAACATTTTACGCTGCTAAACTGGTTTTGATTAAACGGACTAAGCAAATGATTTGAAATAGATCTTGACATTGCATGACACCGGATCCCATTGGATTTACCAATTTACACGTTTTTATGAATACATACACTTAGGCAGGAGTAATCGACTCAGTGGTCTAAAGGTTGAACGTTCGCGCGTGAGACCGATAGGTCCTGCTTTCTAATCCCGCGAGCGGGGTTGTACCAGGACGAAACGGATGTCCAGTGCTTCCAGGTTTTCTATTGTTGTCTAGCTGTAATCGACTTATGAATTCAACTATTAGATTTCCTATTCGTTGCCTCTTACTTTTCTCTCTCTTTAATTTACAATTATCACTTAGTTTATTTGAACTTTCATTTAATTGACCATTACCAATTTTCAAATAAAATGCCTTGACAAGTCTGAAACGCTTTTGTGGAAATACATTACATTTTCTCAGATCAACTTCGTGTTTTCGTTACACCATCAAAACGAATTAAGTTATTTAAGTAAATATTAATGCTGTGCATTGCGTCAATTACAAGCATCTCTAGGTTTATGAAACAATGTTTCTTTACAAAACAAATGTTTGACATACTTTCATTGCTTAACCTGCTATAAGTGGTTGAAACTAAAAAATCAGAAGTAAAGGAAATACATAGAACATTAAAAACTGCAGTTCACTGTGATTTATTATCAAACACTGGGAATCTAGTTATGCATAAATCGAATCAATTATATAACTTGCAGGAAATCTATTATGTTCGTGTAGTTTACATTTCACAAGTTTCCGAGAACTAGTGACATTCTTAGCCGTTTTAACTTTATCTACTCAACTAATTTTCTACTATTTCAGAAGATGATCTTCTTTATAACTGAATTTCAGTGGATCACTTAACAGTTATATATTATTTGTGTTTACCATGCCTTTTTATGTTTTGGACATCTACATTTTGAGCTAATGACAATCTATGAAGAACTAACAGAAAAACTGAACAGTACTAAAATAAGAGCTGTTTGGTATCTGAGTCGTTTGAGATATATAAGATCGATAAATACGTCACTACTTTTCTTAATTCTCTAATTCTATTCATGAACATACATATACGTATGAAGTAAACATAAACTAAATTAAATTTAGTTCTCTGAATACTGTTTTGAAAGGAAGTATTTATTCATTAACACAGTCGTCGGATACTTAAAGAATGTTTCACATGTATTTAAGATCTAAGGCACATAATGATCAATTGCTAAACAATAAACTTCTGTTTCATTTCAAATTCTAGCGGCCATTGCCATGAATTACTTAAGACCTGATCAATGTATGAATAAGTTGTTGGTGGTATATCTCTCTTTCTCCGAAGAAACTTCTCATAAGATCCGTTTTAAAAAGTACACTAAGTGTAGAAATAAGATGGAGATGATCAACAACATCAAGCTATCGATTCATACATACACGTCTCATGAAATTCAAATAGATCAGCGTAAAAATATTAACTGTTTTGCAAGTGTCAACTTCAAATACATCCCAGAATCTGATATATATACTTTAAATGTTGCTTTAGATAATAATATCATAGCATATGTATATAAAATAGGCTAGTGTGTACAACAGATTTAATGAATAAGAAAATGAATAACATACAAAGATGTATAAAAAATATCACACAATTTGTATTGTAAACTCACCGATTTAAATAAAATGAATATATTGGCTCCACATTCACACCATTAGCTAGTATATTCGGAAACATTGGAATGTTTCCATATTCCGATATCCTTCTAGTCGACATGCCAATTATTCCATCATATTTATCAGATAAGTAATCCAGATTAAATATACTCCTCACTTCAGCAAACGCTTGATTCCGAATCTCCAACGAGTTTATCTGCAACGGTATTTTATTTCGAAACATTCGCACTTCTTACTCGTATAGTGTCCACACTCCAAAATCCAGAGAACTCACCATCCAGATATCTGACATGAAAACTAGAACCATCTGCTACATAAGTCGACGATTTCGAGCTATCGTAAAATGAAAACATCCAACAAAATATATCAAGAATCCAACACTTCCTTGAAGCGAGCCATGTGTCAGTGGATCCTGTATCAAACAATACTCGTAACTTTTGAGGTGGAGTTCCCACTGATATCTCACCATAATACTGAAGCTAAATTAAAAGATTATCTCATTCAACATTTAACAGTGTGATATGCAAATAATAATTATTCTTCTATACTTTAAAAATTCTTTTAATTTGAAATAACTTTCAGATAATATGCACTTCTGGTCATGATATTTTGTTATTTGTATCGGTGATTAAATTGCCGGATTTTTCCATGAATTTATGACACTTTGCCTGTTGAGAACTATATCAATGAGCAATATTCCGTTGTATCCATTTTCACAGGCATACTTCAACAGTTAAATACCATAACTTCAATTTCTACGTCGCTGTGTCATCGTGGTTACTTTTGGAAAATAGTCCACTTAGTTTATTTTAAACACAAGAAGGAAAGTCGTCATATTTCGTGTTGCTTATTAGATATACATTAAGTTGGACATCATACTATGAACATGATTGATACACTTACGTTTTCATAATTAATCAATTGTTCCGGTGTAGATGTATTCTGCTTATTCCATTCATACTTCCATTTTCTCGTCGAAGGCTTAAAGTAAGTCGCACCAAGTCCCACCAATGAATCAGATCTTTTCAAAGGGTGGAGAGGAATTCTCACAATCTCACCATATAAATATGGTAGGAAACCGACAATTATGAATCGAATCATTGAAATCGGTTTGAGTACGCTGAAACGTAGTGATGTTTATGTCACTTTTATTTTGTTTTCATCATGTTTTATTGACAAAGATGTGTTAAATTAACTAGAGGATTGACTATAAACAAACCTGATTACTAGTGGTAATTCGATACTTGTTTAATGTGCGTCACTATCACCAAGAAAATGGTTTGAATTACTAAGGAAACACACTTTTATTCTGTGAATCATTGTTTGATGGGAACAGCTTCTAATGTGTATCAAAATTACGATAATGTATCAGTGTGATCTCCAACTCAAACTATACGAGTATTGTTTGATACAGGATCCACTGACACATGGCTCGCTTCAAGGAAGTGTTGGTTTCTTGATATATTTTGTTGGATGTTTTCATTTTACGATAGCTCGAAATCGTCGACTTATGTAGCAGATGGTTCTAGTTTTCATGTCAGATATCTGGATGGTGAGTTCTCTGGATTTTGGAGTGTGGACACTATACGAGTAAGAAGTGCGAATGTTTCGAAATAAAATACCGTTGCAGATAAACTCGTTGGAGATTCGGAATCAAGCGTTTGCTGAAGTGAGGAGTATATTTAATCTGGATTACTTATCTGATAAATATGATGGAATATTAGAATAGGGTTTGTGGGGATTATTAAGTTCTTGATTGAGATCATGAACCGATCTTCACAACCCTTATACTAGTAATCAGCATGTGCTCACTAGTGACTAGGTTCGTGAAGGAATTCTCGGAGTTCTAGTTAGAAGCCTTGACCAGTGGAGCTAATCCATGCCGGGTATAGACAGTTATCTACCGCAGTAAAACGGAAGTTATTCGTGCAATTTCGTGGATTGGTTGATGTTAGACACTATCACTACTGGATGCCGGCTCAGTGGTCCAGTTGGTTAAGCGTTCGCGCGCGTGACCGAAGGCTCTGGGTTCGAAAACCGCGTGCGGGACCGTGGATACGCACTTCTGAGGAGTCCCACGATAAGACGAAACGGCCGTCCAGTGTTTCCTGGTTCTCAAACGTGGTGGTTAAACATCAATCGGTTTATGAGGAAATAATTGGCATGTCGACTAGACGGATATCGAAATATGGGAATATCCCAGTATTGCCAAATATACTTCAGAATCTCCCGAATATGGATCTAGTGTTTACGTAGTTTCGTTTGTTCATAGACTGAGCAAATTGGGAAAAATTTTCACTTAGCCAAATTGCTACGACCCGGTAAGCATAAGTCCACACCCATCTCTTGACTTTCATCCTTCCTATGTCCGTACACTCAGTCATCCATTGAGTTTCATAATTCCTACGATATGGACATAATAGTCTAGGTTGAATTATAGCGACTCACGTGCAATTGAGTTTATTATCACTTAACTCAGTTAAGCCCTTTTGCTAACTTATTTAGCGGACAAAGTCATCCACACTATAGCAATTTATTGTACCCTTATTATTTTGTGCTTGTATGAAATACGCATGCATGAATATTGCTTACTGCATTTCATTTCACTATATATATATGTCCATGTTATTCATATTCAACACTCACATACTCTCGTCTCGCTCTTGCTCTGTCTCTCGCTTGCTTGCTTGCTTTTCGGCACAACTCTTCTATGCTTGTTTAACGCATCTGTACATTTGGATATATGTATGTGGTCTCGCAATAAACGTAATCAACATTTCGTATTTGCCTTCTGATTAATATACCGTTGGGGCGTTATATAGAACGGTTATCAAGACGAACTGTATACGAAGTTAAGGATTATATCGGATACCGACCACCACAGACTAGATAGATATCCACAATTTCAAACGACTTTGGCAACAGATAAAATAAATAACAACTTCGGATATTAATTTTGTTTTCTTCAAATATTTTCAAATATATTCAGGCATTCTCGATATCTTCATTATATACAAACATATCGACAGAATAATTCAATCATACGTTCATCCAAACGATTTAAGTATGGGATATTGGAGTCAAACGACCGTGTAATAGAAAAGATGCCATCGATGAATTGCTTTACTAGATCACAGATCCCTGAAGAAATTTATGGTGTCTACACTGCATAATACATTGAAATCACTGTCCAGATGACTGACATGAAAATTTTAACCATCTGCTACATAAGTCGACGATTTCGAGCTATCGAAAAATGAAAACACCCAACAAAATATATCAAGAAACCAACACTTCTTTGAAGCTACTACACAATCACTGTGTCATAGTTACATCTGTGGGAAACTTCCACTTAGTCTATTTCATGCATATATTAACGAGTGGCATCTACTTAGTATCAGATCAACCCACATTACTTGAAGGAAAGAAAGTTTGAGACTAACAATCTGACTGTAACACGTACATTTCTAAAATTAACGAGTGTTTCGATGGTAATATATTTTATGCTTCCACTCATTCCCTCGATTTCTCGTCGAAGACATAAAGTAACTGTTGTGAACTACAAATTGTGAAGCGCGTCGTTACATCTAGTAGAGAGGGACTTTCACAAATTCACTATGTAAATGCGGTCGAAACGTGAGAGTTATGAGTAGACTCATTGAATTCCCATTCACAGTCTGGTAGATAATGGTGTTCGTGTTACTCTGGTTTTATTTCATCATGCCATTATTGACATAAACATCTTCAAGCAACCTGATCAATATATTGCAAATCAAGCTGTTTATTTGTAGTAATCTGATTCTTGTTTATCTTGTATGAATGGTTTGTTTTACTTACTTCTTAAATTTCAGAGTAATCATTTCCATTGTGCACCTTATCATTTCATCAAAATAACAGTTGTTCAATAGAAAATTCTTATAAATTTGCTGAAAAATGCCTCCTAGCTCTAACATTACATTTTCAGTTAGCTTGCATTCAATCGTTTGAACGTACATCAGCCAAACTGCATTCCACCCATTTGAGATTGACCACTATCACCGGCATCTTCAATTAGACCGACCACTGAAGGTGAATGGCCAGCAATACTAGTAGGTGATTTAAGTATTGATGGTAAATTAACATTACTATATAATAATGGTAAATTTTCCTTTGAGGTAATATACACTTTATTATAAATATCAACCATGATTGAGTGAAACTTACATGGGCAAGGTGCCGGATGTTCTGTTGAGTATACAGTCTTATTTTGTGTATTAGCATGTGCTAATTAATCCTTTGTAATATTTAGTCATTTGATTTGAAAGCAAGAACCTTGAAGTAAACTGTAGATGACCATGTGAAAAAAATTCTATAAAATACCATGACCCTAAACGAGAATTCTAATTACTTACAGATTTTACTCAGTTTGGTTTCGATTTTGTAATGATGCTAGTTGAATATTTTGACAATCAATAGAGGTTCGCACTTCAGATAATGAGATATGACATTATGTTTCTAATGTATTATTAGAATCATTGTTACCGTCTATATTATTCGGCAAACAAAAACGTGTCAAGTGGTTTATGAATGCTCTACTTCTCATCCTAGAGAATATCTAGATATATGGGAACAAACAGAAAATTGTGAAGTCGAATGTCAAAATGATCATGAAAATAACACTAATAGGTTGAGTTTTAAAGTGCAAAACATCTTCCTAAACTTGCTTCAGGGGGTTCGTTAGCATGATTCACTTCTTCAAGCTGCATAGTCTACTGATCAGATGAATTCGTTTGTTTTCGTTAACGTATCTTTAGAGTCTGATCGTACAGTAACGCTGTTTGTTTTTCATGCTTATTTGGGCAGTTCAGTCAATTTTCATATGAAAATGCAGATTCATTACCATCCCAACCTATCAATTTCCTTTACCGTAAGTACAATATTCCTCTACTGCAATGTATAAAGGAAAAGAAGAGGATTACGATAATGGACCACACCTGTTAGAAGGTAAGAATAAAATGCATTCTAGATGTTTTTCAAAGAACTAGCTCTTTCACTGTACCATAACTTTTAAAAGCACTACAATTAATAAAACAGCCATTATTTGTATGTAGGATGCAAATGTGGGTTTCGCGCTTACGTTGTGGATATGTACATTCCCATACACCGTAATAATGCATTTGAAAGGCATAACTGTGTTGAAATTCGTTCGTATACAGTGTACAGTGTAACCACTTGTTTATTAAACACGATATTTATGTTACGTAAGGATTCTAATACAAAATTCAGTGGTATTAGTAAACAGAGCAAGCGGATATACATACAAATGAAACAGGGATTGGCACAAGAGCCAAATCGAAGCACAAATCTTTATTTATGCTCGTATGTAATTCAGGCAGACGTTCAATACGTAAGTGATAAACAAGAAAACACATTGACAGTACACTAATGAAAACACATATTCGAAATGCACAGTAATTAACAGAATTAAAAGACATAGATACTACGAAAATTCTCAGTATGAGGAATCTCTTAATAATTTGTTGAATTCAAATTTGCTATAAATTTTCTATTTTTATTTCATTCACTGTTGTACACACAATTGTAATTTCTATATTTTAGCAACATATTACTGTTTAATTAAATTCTTGTTTCATTCTTCTTATTTAAAACATAAGTTAATCCAATACGTTTCTGACCGAAATCAAATACGGTATAGAATCTTCTCATAAAAACGTCACCGAGAATCCAAAAATTCGGTGGTACAGAATCATCAATGTCAAAAGGTGACGAACACACTGTTTTAAACCAAAAGTCCTCCTGTAATCAAATGAGGAAGACAACAATACAGAAGTAAATTGTTTTGTTCTTATTAGTTAAAATAGTATTTTTAAAAACGATTAAAGACTAGATGCTTATTATTCTCGTCTGTTATTTGCTTTCACATTTATAGAATGGTATAATTTATCTGTGAGTGTGAAAGTGTGTAGTTCATATTTTCTACCACAACAGTAGTTCATATTGAATTATTTAAATATCAATTTAAACTTCGCTTTTATTGAAATTTTCTAGGATCAATTATAAACCTAGGAAAGTATTTCGATTGGTAAACAGTTTTGCATTTC